AGGAGAGGGATCAAAGGGCTGGAGAAGGAGGTACATAATTGTAGCATTAACATATTAGAAAGCCATGGGCAGCAGTAATGTGGAAGTGGAGATCCCTCTACTAAAGGCATTCAAGGTGAAACCCAGCTTGGAGTAGGAGGAAGGTCACTGGATTTGGAACCAACAAACTAAGGATGAAGTTGGGATTCTCTAGGTCCATGCAGCATATCCATTTGCAAAATGGTCTTGTGTTTAGGGTTGGGCCACTGTGTTATCCACCCCAGCCCTCTCTCTTATTCCTGGTCTATCATCCTCAGAACTCTGGGGCTCTACGGATCACCAGCTAAAACTGTTAACCAATCTCTAAGGTTCCTTCTAGCTCTATCCTAGTGTTGTAAGGTGAACGAGGGAGTCATTTGCCCTGTTATAACAATCCCATGCCTTCATTGTGCATAAATATATCAAGAAACCTGGGATCTCCTTTAATTTTACTTTAGTATGGAAAGTCACTTCTTAATTGCATTGCCTGGCAAAAAGATCATGGCTTAGGAAGTTATAGATCCAGGTTTCAAATCCCTGCTCTCCCATTTGCTGCACTAAAAAAAAAAAAAAAAATCTTATAACTCTTTATACTATTTATTATCTTTAGGGCTGGTTATTTAATCTCTTTGTGTTCCAATTTCTTCATCTGTCAGATGAAGCTAGTAACACTATTCATAGGACAAATGTAAACATCAAATGAAATAATTGATGTTAAAGTGTTCCATAAGAGATGTTATCAAATGTTACATATTACAATCATCAGATCACCAAATGAAGAATCAGTTTTAAGTATATTCAACAAAGAAATTTTTAGTGTAAAAGATCTAGCTGTAAAGTACTTAAATTTTTTCTAAATAAACAAGCCCTTAATATCCAGATAAGTATTATCTTCAAAGATGTTCTTTGGTTAGGCAATTTGTTATTCTGACCATGTTGTTGTTACTTAAGATTTCTTTGAAATGTATCTCTTGATGCTGTCTCCAAAGTTATTATATCCTTGGTAGTGATAACTCTTTATCGAAGTGAATTTTGGTGAAAACCCATAGCATCATAGGTAATGAATATAGGGGGCATCAACCTAGATAACTTGAATGTGTTTAAAAATAAAAAATACTGTCTATGCCATGAGCTTGTTTTCTTGTGTGGTAGATTCTACTGTACTTTTTAATGTATGATTTTTCTAAAATTCAGGTTCCTAGCCTACACAAACAAATTCTACTGTTAGTTTATTTAAAGAAATGTGGAAATTTACAATTGAATTAGTTTTCTTACTAATAAAATGGCATTCTGGGCCTTTAGACCAATGTGAGAAATGTCCCAGGTGCCATTCCTAGGCTCCTAAATCCCAATGTTAGAGAGCAGTACAGAAATTTGTGCTTAGAATGAACACAGATTGATCCCCTGGGTGATAATATTACATAGATGGGGCTGGCTTTTGGGGAAGGGAGAAATTAAGGTTTATAATTTGAATCTTGGGGAACAAGTTTCTACGGGACTCATGAAAATGATGCTTGGGAAATGCAAATGATAGAGCTTCTTTCTCTGAGACAGGGGTAGAATCACCACCCTATTGTCTGTATCCACAGGTTATACATATATGCACACAAATTCTTTGGTTGATCTCTTCCCACCCACCCACCAACCCCTGCCTTCCCTCTAAGATTCCACAGTCTGTTACATGTTTCTGTTTATGGATCTGTTTTGTTCATAAGTTTATTTTGTTCATTTGATTCCACATATGAATAAGATCATGTGATACTTGTTTTTCTCTGACTAGCTTATTTCACTTAGTGTAATACTCTCCAGGTCCCTCCAAGCTGTTTCAAAGGGTAAGAGATACTATGCAGCAGTAAAAAAATAAAAAATAAAAAATTACTAGAGATTTTGATTTTAGAGTTTTATGCTATGTCACTCATTTGTTTCATAGGGGACTGTCTTACAATAAGGTGTATTTTATAAATACTTCAAAGTTTGTCTCTTACTTCTTAGTGTCTGCTTCACACTGGCATTGCATTCATAACCAAGTACATACACTGTATGTACATACACTGTATAGTAGTGTATGGATGAATGAAGGAATGGCCTCTTCTCTGATGGGAATTAGACTTGTATTGATAACATCAAGGGAAAGTATTAAAATTTAATATGAGGTTGTGATGAGTGCCTCTCTGTGAGGCAGCCTGCCTCCCTAATCAGCTATTAAAGGGTTGCCAACAGTGTTCTGTAGATCTTCTATTTACTGTAAATAGTCAGACAAGTTAAGGAAAATCCCTCTGCAGTGTTCTGCTGGCTAAATTCAGCCCCACAACAAAACTGATAGAGCAGAGCTATTTCTGTCTTAAATACAAATCCTTAATTCCATTAGAAATTAAGATAAAAAGAAAGAATCTTCTGTTGTTATACACTAATTGAAACCTGCTTCAGAAGACCACCCATGGTTCCAGAAAAGGGGGTTTTGCTTGTTAAGTCTTTAAAATTCAAGTCTTTTGGAGAGGCTAATTTGAAAGCAACTGTAAATCACACTAACTCAAATGCCACTGGTGGTTCAAGAAAGGACCTGACCCTGGTCTGCTTAATCTCCACAGCAGACACCTTGTGACCTTCCTCTGCCTGAGATGTGATATAAGCAATGTTACTGTGAACTGTTGACGACTTGATTCAGTGTAATTATATGTCTAGAATCACATACCAGGCCTTATTAAAAATTCTTAGATATTAAAAATGACCAAATGATACATTTAAGCTGTATGTATATGCCTTATTGGATGCCAAATAGGTTTTTAAAAATCAGAAAATATCTTATTGAGTTAAAATAGGACAAACAGACAAATTCAGGATAAATAGCTAATAGCAAAGAGATCTTAATAATAGTGGTAATGATGAAAATGTCATTTATTTAACTTTAGAATACTTTAGATCTCCTGTTAGAAACTCATAAGCTTGAGTTACTTTTCCAAATCAGCCTACATAGACACCAATCTACATAAGCCAAGAGGCTCATGGGTCATGGTGTGGAAAGGGAAAGAAACTAAAGTCCTTCCCTTGTGAAAGCCAGTGTCCTTTAACACCACAGACTAATCAGCTGAGAGAATATGTCGCTTTAAAATAGCCCCTTTCCCCCCAGGACGTTAAAAGCCCCCTTTTAAAATCTGATAATACTAAAGGTCTGATACACAAATTCATGCATGGTGGGGACCCTCTGGGTGGTCTGTGGGGATCAGGTGGAAACCTGTAGTCCAGCTGACTGCATCTCCTACCTGCCACTCATGCTCATCCAGGCCCCACTGTGCCTGCTACAGGCTTGCACCAAGTCAGCTCCAATGGGGAGAGGCTTATACAGCACTGCTCACCAGCCTTGAGCCCTGTGTTTGGCACCCTTCTGAGGGGAGTGGCCTGCAGGATCAGGCCAAAACTCACTCTCCAACATCCCCCCCCCCCCCCGGGGTCACAGATTACGAGAGGGTGCAGGCCAGGCTAAGGGACCCCACAGTGCATGATTGGAGCCAGGGAGGGACTGTGGGAGGGTTCCAGGGTATGTCTGGCCTATCTTGCTCAGTCCCAATTGGCTGGACCCCAACAGCAAGCTAACCTACCAGTCGGAGCATCTGTCCCATGGTTGTCAGTGCACATCATAGCAACTGGTTGGCAGGTTGACTGTCTGCCCCCTGGTGGTCAGTACATGTCATAGAAAGCAGTTGAGCGGCCTTAGCATATCATTAGCATATTACTCTTTGGTTGAGCAGTAGACCAGTCACTAGATGACCAAACAATTAGCATATTAGGCTTTTATTATATAAAACTAGAGGCCTGGTGCAGGAAATTCATGCACTGGGGGAGGGTCCTTCAGCCCAGCCTGTACTCTCTCCATTCTGGGACCACTTGGGGGATGTCTGACTGCCGGTATAGGCCCAATCCTAGAGTGGGTCCTAAACCGGTGGTCAGACATCCCTCTCACAATTCAGATCCGCTGGCTCATAACCACTTGCCTGCCTACCAGCTGGATCAGCACCTAATCACTCCCCTGCCAGCTTAATGGCCCCCAACTGCCCTCTCCTGCTGGCCTGATGGCCCCCAACTGCTCTCCTCTGGTGGCCTGATCACCCCTAACCACCTCTGCCTCAGCTCCTACCAGTGTGGCTTTGTCCGGAAGGAAGTCGGACAGTAGGAAGATGTCCAGTCTCCTAGTCTAATTAGCATATTACCCTTTTATTAGTATAAATAAAGGCCTGGAGCATGGGTGGGGCTGGCTGGTCTGCCTGAAGGGGTCCTGAATCAGAGTGTGGGTCCCCTTGGAGGGCAGGGCTGGCTTGGGCGAGGGGCTGAGGGATGTTTGCAGCTGGCCATCCCCCATTGGGGTGAGGGTCCCAGCTGGAGGGTGTGGCCAGCCTGGGCGAGGGGCTGAGGGCCGTTTGGGGTTGGTTTGCAGGCCGGCCAAGCCTCCAGCTTTGTCTGGAAGGTCTCCTCTTATTACTTATTACAAGCATATTATAATACTTTTATTAGTATAGATAGGTTACTGAGGGGAAGGAAGGGAAGAAGAAATAAAGGGATTGCGGAAGAAAGGTAAGAAGCTAGGAAGAAAAAGGAAACTCTTACAGTGACCAGTGTTTCTCTGTGGAGTTATCTTTTTATAGTCCATGCCTCTCTAGGAGAAAAGCCTATTGCTGTCTATGAAGAATTAATACCAGTACATAAAACTTCTTCCATAGGTTCTTCCTTCTTTGTGTCATAAAATGAAGGGGAAGAAAGAGATAATAAAATCTTGATACCAAAAATTCTCAAATAACTCAAAGCATTTTCAGTACCTTGATAATGCCTGAGAAATACAGGCAGTCACTAGTAAGGATTTCAAATCTTCCTCAAAGTTTGAGGGGCCAAAAGGGTTATATTGGAAAGATCAGAACTTAGTGAGACTATCACATGGGACAGCAATACAGTGTACATTCACACCATCAATCACTTTCTTCTAGACATGCAAATAAGAATACCAGGTAACAATTTTATTCACAAATAAAAAAGGTATTACAAAACTATTCATATAAGAAAATTCCAGTAAGTAAAAAAAAATAATAATGAAATCTAAATTGAATCAAGCTGACTACCTTAAGGCAATGGTATATTTTTTACTTTTTTTGGTTTATATTTTTACTAGCATAGACAGTAAGTAGTGCTTAACCTAGGTGACAGCAACATTAACTTTATCTAAAGTAGAAAAACTTATATTTAAAATATATATTCCGTACACATAAAATTAGAAAACTCATGCCTTTATATTGTTGTCTTTCAAATCCTTGTCTCATTCTTGTAGATGACTCTTTGCAACATTAAAGTCACAATTATGCATTCCCAGCTATGTTATTACTTAATGAGTTCCCAGCTTCAGCACTCTAGCAGTTGAGTTTATTTGAGTGATAGATGGTATTCCAACAATATGAAATGCAAAGTTGATTTTCCTCAAATGTTTACAAAGAATGTAGAATATAACACTGTATGTGTCTATAGTAGTGGGGTAAAATGTCTTCATATTAATAAAAATAATGCAGGATTTTTCAAATGCAATGTCAAATCAAACTGACTTTTGACTCTAAATATTTATCTACTGATAAAAAGTGATGTTTCAATATTTTCTGGCCAGTCTCACTCTCATCAATCTAGCTTTCTCCAGCAAGTGTTTGTCTTTAAAGTTAATGAGGGCTCATATGGAAAATATATTCAGGTTACAAAAATGAGCACAACCTTGGCTTACTTGATCATCCCTCTTTCATATCAAAAATGATCAAATTGCATACAATGGAACACATATATGAAGTTAAAGAGCATTTTTATAGACATCTTGTGATCAATTCCTAAATATTTCACCTGAGTTTCCTAAAGACAATTCTCATAAGAGTTGGTGAGTTCCAAAGATTAAGAACTATTGGTTTATGGTTAAACAAAACAAAACAAAAAATACAACACACAAACAAGTAGTAGAAATGAATCGATTATGACTGGGTGCTCAAACAAAATTGTGAGTTATCATGAGACACTCTAATTTCATATTTCAGTTAAATGAACTGAGGTCATGAGAAGGACAAACCCAGGCAAGCTAACATGCACATATCAGAGCCTGAAACTATGCATAGAGAAACTGTTCTAGCCACAGAAAAGGAGATCATTAGGTTTTACTAATCTCTTACAAAGAGAGAAATGTTTGAGGTAATAAATGAGACAATAATGTCTAGGTTTTTAAAATGTTTAGTTTAGGCAAAATTCACTGATTTGGATGGGATAATTCTGAAACAAAATATTTTAGTACATACTAACATACTGATGTTCAAAGGTCTTTCTTTTTTTTAAAGTACAAATGGGACAAAGTTAATGGAATCAGTTAAAAGGCCAGATCTAATCATGTAGGTTTAAGAAAGAAAAAATAAATCCTGTTCAATTAACTTCTCTGGGCCATAAAAGATGCAGAGAAATGAGCCATCCCCAGTTTATGTCTGATCTGCATTTATTTCTCTCTTACCTATAGAGATATTTCTAGTGTGTAAATTCCAATGTGAGAAAGGATGGGGTAAGCATCTGAACAGAAGCTTCACACTTAAATCAGAATTGTTTGGCTAAGATGGGACATTATTGTCCTAACTAAGCTGATGAGATCAGAGGGAAACTGTAATACTGGTTAAACTACAATGCAGTAGTTACAGGCTGTTCACTCAGAGGTCGCTGTCAAACTGCTTTTTCTCCTGGTTATAATATGTAGTATAGTCTCATAAGATTGTTCACTTGGTGATATATTTCAGTAGTAAAGGGACCATATATGTTGTCATTTCTAAATTCCTTAGTATGAAAGGCAAAACACCACAACAACAAAACAAAAAACTCATAGATACAGAGAACAGGTTTGTGGGTGATTAAGAGAAAGAAAAAGAAAAAGATCATTATCTTAATAAATACTTTTCTATAAAAGAGAAATTCTGCATCTTCTGTCACAGGGACAGAGTAACAGATGCTACCATACCAACTGATTTCCATAGAAATATGTTCATCTTTGTATGCAAGTCTCTAGAATGTGTGTGTTCAGTGGTTTTGGACTCAGGGTGATGGGTGGCCTTTCTCCACCTTGTTCCCTGACACAGTCCTCTCATGACTAGCTCCAGAAAGTAGGTGTTTGTGAGCTGCTGGCTGAGGTTAGAAATGTTGATTCTTTAAAAAACTTCTTTTCCTCTAATTTCTAGTTTGGTCAATTGACTTCAACTAATAAACCCAATATTTAGGCAGGCAGAATGAAGTCAATTCTAGCCTTCTAAGTCAATTAGTTTAGATGACCAAAAAGTGACCTTCCTCAAATAGAAACATTCATTTTTAACCCATTCTACATAAAAACTAAGGTAACTAATCTAACATTGACTTTTAGTAGGATAATTGACTATATAAAATTATTTTAAAAGAAAATATAGATGAAAACTTATACTTTGGATCTTGAGTCTTGTGAAATCACATTCACCATGAAAATACACACGAACCAAAATGCATTTCTGGTTCTTGTTATTGGTCCATAACCTTCCTGGCTGCCAACTCAGTGCATCAGTCCTTGAAGTCATACTTGTAGCATAGAAGCTTCTTGTTTAGGAAAGATGCAAAGCATCATGAGTGCCTGCAGTCTTGTTCTGTTCTTCCTTGAGGTTTCAGCTTACAGCTGGTCTGGCTCAGAAGCAACTGGTTGAAAGGCTTAAAAAGTCATTAGTTTGATTCAGATTTAAATTTCCCTCCAGAAGCCATGAAAGGTCCAGACTGCTCAGTCCATAAGTGTAAGTGGAGGCGTGTGTGCCCCTTGGGTTCCATACGTGCACCTCTAATCCAGGAAGAATGGAGTCCTAAAAAGCTCCCTAAAACAGCAACAGAAGGAGAGCTTTAAAAACCATACCTTACAAATTAAAACTGGGAAACTGTAACTGTAAAAAAAACCAAAACTATATATAAAACTTTTACTAGTAATACACATGAATTTAATCACATACAGACAAGAAGCTCATGTAATGGTGTTCATATATCCAGTACCCATGTACTTCGAGAATAAAATGAAGATTCCATAACAACTCATAGTCACTCAATATTTGCAAACAGAACTTAAAAAATGATAATGTAACCCAAGCATGTCAAACTCACAGCCCATAGGCTGTATGCACAAATATTTTTGCGGCCCAGCCAATATAACGGTATGTAAGAAATGTTTTTTTGTGTGTTTTTTAAAAAAATATATTTTATTGATTTTTTACAGAGAGGAAGGGAGAGAGATAGAGAGCCAGAAACATCAATGAGAGAGAAACATCAACCAGCTGCCTCTTGCACTCCCCCCACCGGGGATGTGCCCGCAACCAACGTACATGCCCTTGACCGGAATCGAATCTGGGACCTTTCAGTCCACAGACCGACGTTCTACCACTGAGCCAAACCGGTTTCGGCTAAGAAATGTTTTAATGAAAATTTTGTAACTTAATTTTTACAATATCCTGTTATACATATCTTACCTAATAAAATGGTAATATGCAAATTAACTGTCACTCTGTCACAAAGATGGTGGTGCCCATAGCCACAAGATGGCGGCGCCTAGTCCTCTCAGCTCCATTGGAGTCCCCCAGTCCCTGGGGTGAGGGCAGGGGCGGGGGAGGCAGCCGTTGAGAGCGGGCTGCATGAGCAGCCTAGTGGAATGCTTGCTTTGTAAGTGTGGCAATGAGGCAAGCGTTCCGTGCCCAGCTGCAGATGGGCCTCTGGGTCACGGAGAGCCTCTGGGCAGCAGGCTTGGAGTGGCCAGGCCCCATAGAGAGCTACTGGTGCACGGATTTGTGTGCAGGGCTACTAGTTATTAATAATGAATTACAATGTTCGCTAATGATGGATTACTGTAATTGTGTTGCATTCATTTCCCTTATGCACCTTATGCACAGGCATACCATCTCTTTTCTCTAATACTAGCAGTGAATGTTTTAGCAGTCGATTGTCATGTCATCAGTCTTATATTGACTTGTTTAGTGTGCGCAACAGGAAATATTTTGATTTCAGAGAACAAGAAAAATAGGTTTATTTGTGTTACGCTTATTAATTTGTGCAGTTATTCAGTGTCTGGTAAGTTAATGTTCAAGAAAAAATATTAATTTTTATTAAAATGTTTTATTACTTTTTGTTAACAATGACTCGTTTATTCCAGTCCTTTGTTTTTGGCATGTCTCTATGGAAATAAACCCACGTTTTTATGAAAATTAAAGCTTTTGGGGTTTTTTTGCAGCCCACATAAACTTAAACCTTGTTTATTTGGCCCATGTTAGCCTTTGAGTTTGACGTGCTTGATGCAAATCATAGCAAACAAAGTGTATTAGCAAACAATGCTGATTACAAACTCATTTCAACATAGAAAACCTATTTCTGTGTTGTACTCCTTTAAAGTAGAAAGATCTTAGGAGCCTTTTGACCCTTATTTAAAAGAGCAAAGATGATTAATGAACAGTGCCATTTTTCATCCTTGCATTTAAAACTTACACTAAACTTGTGGAGAAAATTTAGAAATAGTTTGGGAATGAAATTCCCCTTATAATGCTCTCCTGGGTACACTCGCACTCTTCATAGGGCTGATGTACTCTGGAAAGTATATCCCTTAGATTTGTCCTTATCACAAGAGGGCAGTGACCTCACCTCATAAGGGACGAGGCACTGGCCAACCGGACAATACTGTATATATGTAAAATCTTCATTTTATGCACTGACTCTTCATTAACTTGTGTACCACTAATTTGGCACTAGTGACATATTGGATACATTTATGAAAAAAATTCTTCCCGAGGCCTAAGGAGATTATCTGAAAATAGAAACTCCTGAAATACTCTTGATAATCAGAGATAGTTTAGTCAAATATATCAATCAATAGATATAATAATAACCACATTAACATTATTGTGGGAGTCACATTATATTCATTTTGTAAATAAGGATATAGAGATTTTAACGGGTTAAAAATCTTCCTTACCATTGACACTTAAAATGTTAGTTAAAAAAAACATCACCATAAAAGCTTTTCCTATAAGTAAAGAGGCTGGCCTCCTTCTCCCAAACATCAAAGCAAATGATGTCCCAAATATCTTAGGTCTGGGGAGGGAGGAAAATTAAATCATACAGACCTAGGAAGGCTCTGACACCTGTTGGCTTTATTCTGAACCATAACTCTCATCACCAGATTCTGGGTGGTATTAAACCACCCACAAGAAAGCATTGCATTTGGAAACAAATGCTTCATGTATTAGAAATCTGAACTTTACACCATATAAAGACAAACATGCTGTCTTTATATACACGTGTAGCAAATCATATTGTACATCTTTAATATATACAATATTATATGTCAACTGTATCTCAATAAATCTTGAAAAAAGAGTGAATAGATATTAACAAACTGAAAATATAAGTGAATGCCTAGGGAGGAATTTAAAGTTTTATTTGAAATAAAATAAAATAAATTTTTAATCACTTAAAAAAAAAAAAAAAAAAGGTCTGTTTTGGCTATTTTTGCCCTTACACATCTCCTAAATGGAAATCCAGTGCTTTCCTGAATTATGAATGAGCCCATGCCAAGGAGCCCAGCTGACTAAAGATGACCTCGAGGAACTAAAAGTCCTATACTTGGTTCATAATAGTAAGCTCCTGAAATCAAATTTTTAAATAAGTATATTCTCTACCTTAGAAAATTAGCCAATTGAGGGAAGTCTGAATTGCTTTTTGGAGTCTAATGGATTGGATTCCAGTTAAATATGTAGCTGACCCTTGAAATAAAAAGGATCAATTTCCCAAAGAGATACAGTCGCCACTATCTCCTATTTTATTTTGAAGATTAAGCTTCTTTCACCAAGTTTTCCACATTAAGTAAATGCATCCCAAGAAGTACTTTTCAGAATCTGGAAAATGTTATCTTTTAGAATGGGCTCAAAATATTATTAGCTATTCTTCACCCTAGTTAGTTTGGCTCAGTGGATAGAGCATCAGTCTGCAGACTAAAGGGTTGGAGGTTAGGTTCCAGTCAAGGGCACATGCCCGGTTTCGGGCTCAATCCCCAGTAAGGGCATGCAGGAGACAGCCAATCAATGATTCTCTCACATCACTGATGTTTCTATCTTTCTCTCCCTTTCTTTCTGAAATCAATAAAAATATTTTTAAAAATATATTATTTGCTATTTTTAATTTTAGAATAAAAATGAAAAGGATTCATTTTTTGAGTTCAGAATGTCTTATTTAGATTTACTAAAATTATGTAATAATTATAACACATCCTTGTAAAGCTAATAAAAACCTTTCATTAATAAATTACATTGTGCAACTTGAATGTAACACTTCCTCATTCATTTTATGTGTAATTATAACTTTCCATAATAATTTGTGTTGAAAATAACTTTATGCAGATCATAATCACCTTAAGAACACTCTTTGAAAAGGAATTAATATCATTATATTCACTTATAAACTAAACTACATTTCTAAAATTTTACATTAATATAACTTTGATAATAGTACCTACCAACCCTATGTCCACCTCACCAACATAAACAGAAAAAGGTAGAGAATGAGTTGGTTTTTACATAACTTGGTATCCAGATGTTTCATTCCTTAGTATTTACATCACAAAATTGAGGACAAGCTACAAAATTAAGATGAGTGGTAATTCTATTTACTGACAATAACCTGAAATACCAGTAGCACAATCATTTTAGTTACTCAGACTTTCCCCTAACGATGTATGGGAAGATGTAATAGATATTTGTGAAGGGAACACAAGCAAGTTTGTTATCAATGCCAATTGGATTGATAAAAAAAACAAACAAACTTCAACATCTTGTACTGAAAACAGAACTCATGAAACTCTAAGAGTTCTATGACTTTTATTTTGGAGTACCTGCCAAGGCCTCCCATTGGGATAGTGAGATTAGTTTTAAAGGGGGTGCAGTCCTCTCCATGCATCTCTAATCTGCTGTAAGGCCAGCTACCTGCTCTGGACTGCTGGGAGTCCTCAGCCCCGAAGGTTTGTGGGCCACAAGCCATCCTTGAGACCTACCCTCAGCTAAGCTAACTCTTTTTTTGTTGTTATTGTTATTCCTCACCCGAGGATATTTTTCCAATGATTTTTAGGGAGAGAAGAGGAGACAAGAAAAGACAGAGAGAAACATCAATGTGAGAGAAACACATCAATTGTTTGCCTCCTGCATGAGTCCCAACAGGGCCCAGGCCTGGGAGGAGCCTGCAACCGAGGTATGTGCGTTTGACCAGAATCAAATCCCAGACCCTTTGGTCTACAGGTCGACGCTCTATCATGAAAGTTATAAAAATTAGGGATGGCTCAAGGGAATAAGGTCAGTAAAAGTCTTTCCCAACTACAGAGGTATGCATTTAAAAAAAGAAATTTACAGCACTAATTATTAGATGCAAATTAAAACCACAATGTGGTACCACCTCAAGGCTGCCAGAATGGCTACAATCAATAAATCAACAAACAAGAAATGTTGGCGAAGATGTAGGAAAAAAGGGACTTTAGTACACTGCTGATGAGAATGCAGACTGTGCAGCCACTATGGAAAACAGTGTGGAGTTTTCTTAAAAAATTTTGAAAAATGAAACTACCATTTGACCTAGAGGTCCCACTTCTAAGAATATCCTAAGAAGCTAGAAGCACCAATCAGAAAGAATATATACACTCTTATATTCATAGCAGTGCTAAAAAAAACCCAACTGTCATACATTTACACAAATGGAATACTATACAGCTGTAAAGAAGAAGAAGGAGAAGGAGAAGGAGAAGGAGAAGAAGAAGAAGAAGAAGAAGAAGGAGGAGGAGGAGGAGGAGGAGGAGGAGGAGGAGGAGGAGGAGGAAGAAGAAGAAGAAGAAGAAGAAGAAGAAGAAGAAGAAGAAGAAGAAGAAGAAGGACCTTACCATTTGAGACAGCATGGAGGAGCATGGAGAATATTATGCTAAGTGAAATAAGCCAGTCAGAAAAAGACAAGCATCACATGATATCACTCATATGTGGAATCTAATGAACACGATAAACTGATGAATGAAAAACATCCAGAGACAGTGAAGCATGCCACAGAATGAGGTATTTGAGATGGAAGTGGGGAGGGCTGGAAGAGATTATCCAATGAACTTTTATGCATATATGCATAGCCCATGGACAGACAATAATGTGGGGAAGATCTGGGGAGAGGCAGGAACAAGGTGAAGAGGTCGATGTGGGGCGGCGGGGAGGGACATCTGTAATACTTTAGACAATAAAGATGAATTAAAAAAACCTAAAAGTATATATTCTTCTTTAACACATAAGAAGTTATGAAAGATGGCAAACCTTCTTATCAGGTTCCCTCACATATTGTTGTAGGAACAGAATTCATTCCCTATGGTCTTCCAAAAGTCAATGCTTTGTCCACAGTAAAATCAGTCATTGCCTTACCTGGAGGGATGTCTGAGTTTGAGTGGTTCGGTTATTGAAATCTCCACTCGTTTGACCTAGCTGGCTTCTAGTAATTAGTGCATCCTGAGTTCGCACTGGTTCTGTCAGTGGGTTGTATCTAAATAAATCAGTAGTTTCTGTAAAGTTTTCAGAAGAAGCTTGAATTGGAACAGTGCCACCAACCAAATTCTGACTACTGTTTGAATCCAAGGATTCATTTTCTGGGTTGAGAGAATAAATATCTTCTCCAGTGAGTTCAGGATAAGAGTCACAAAAAGAGATATCATCACCAAAAATGGGATTTTGCATCAGAGGCCAGGCATCCGAAAACTCGCCACAGATGGACTGAGAAAGGGACCCGAAGAAAGATGGCATGGTCTCTTCCACAGGACCTGCATTTCTGAACACATGTTCAAAAGGCTTTTAAGTGTTCTATAGGGAGAAAATACATGACTACAACACAACATTCCAATAATACTTCCAAGTTTTCTAGATGAAATAGCAATTTATTATCAGAATTCCAGTTGTTATAAATTTGCTTTAATACAATAAGCTTAATTCCTCCAATTACTTTAAAATTTAATATACTTAGTTTTAATCAATGTAGTTATACATAATAAAATGTCTAAAACATGCAGTTTCTTGGGTTTTAACTGAGTTTGAAGGCTGTTCTAAAATTCTATGAGTAAAAAAAAAAATTCTATGAGTACATGACATGTTAAAAATTACTTGCGATGGCAGAAGTGTCACAAATAATAGATATAAAACAAAAATAAAAATTGAGAGGCCCTAGCTGGTTTTGCTCAGTGGATAGAGCATCAGCCTGTAGCCTGAAGGGTCCCAGGTTTGATTCCAGTCAAGGGTACATGCCAGGATTTGTGGGCTTGATACCCAGTAGGGGACATGCAGGAGGCAACCGATAGATGATTCTATCTCATCATTGATGTTTCTATCTCTCTCTCCCTCTCCCTTTTTCTCTGAAATCAATAAAAACAAAATAAAACAATAAAATTGATGGTAAAATATAAAAAATGTTGTATTGGATATTAGTAACCTTGAGAGAGTGGCCTAATTCTTGCCAAACACATGCCCCCTCCAATGACCAGAATGGCATTAATGATATTAAAAAGTGATGGCCCATGAAATATTTTTAAATTTTTCAAATGAAAATTGGTAAATGAATGTAATGCATATTTGCACAAGGATTATGAAATTATATTGCTTAAAAAATACCCAGTTACCTCTCCTGAAGTGTGGCCTGGGAATGCACCCTGCAAGCAAGAGTCACCTGGTCGATGCTGCAGGAGTCATCACAGCACAAGGATGGGATCAAGTGAACAGGCCCTAGGAAAGATAGCAGAGTTATGAAGCATAATGCCTTTCCTGGGAATATTCTCTTTAATACCAGTTCAACATTGTTCTTGAAACTAACTATTCCCTTTTGGGTAACTTTTTGGGGAAAGAGAATATGAGTCTTAATTTTTTTCTCTGTTTTTATCTTTTAATAAAAATGATGAACTATTTATACACTATACCTAGAGTAGTCAAAATCATCCTTTCTAATAAAGAGGAAATGTGCTAATTGACCCTCACGGCATCACAAAGATGGTGGTGCCCACAGCCAAGAAGGAGAGAATATGCTAATTGACAACCACTCCCTCAAAGATGGTGGCACTCACAGACACAGATGGCAGCACCCAGTCCCCTCAGCCCCGATGGGGTGGCAGGTGTCCAGCTGCTCGTGTGCCTGCCTTCAGAGTTCCCCAAGTAACCAGGGCCAGCTGAGGCTTGTGCTGCCGGCAGTGGCAGCAGCAGAGATGTGATGGGGGCATCACCTTCCCCTGATCACCAAGTCACCTCCTGTCCCTGAGGGCTCCTGGACTCTGAGAGGGGCAGGTCGGGCTGAGGGACCCCTGCTCCAACGCATAAATTTTCATGCACTAGGCCTCTAGTAGAGATATAAAGTATAATGGCGATTGCCAGGTGCTGGAGGAGGAAAAATGGGAAGTTAGTATATAATGGGTACAGAGATTCAATTTGGAAAAATGGATAAGTTCTAAAAAATGGATGGTGGTGATGCTTGCACAATAATGTGCATGTAGTTAATACACTAAACTGTACACTTAAATTTATTGAAGAAAAAAATTTAGATATAAAGAGAGACTAGATACACTTAAAAATAAATCTTCCTTAGCCCTATAAACTTGAAATAAACAATCAATTTGATAAACAGCTAGATTTCTCTCTATGTATACACACATATAACTCTAATTTTATAAAACCATAAACATACTAAAGCATCCAGGCAAATACAAAGACACACATATATATGTAGAGAAAAAGGCTTGAAGTAATTATATGTATACATGTACATATATGTTTTTGTATATTCAAATTTAACATGAGAATCATCTCTTTACTTTTATAAACAGGAGAATAATATAAAACTAATATTTCCCTTTTGGAAATAAATATTGAGATGCAATTGAAAACCAGTGTTAAGCAGGATGGACACCCAACTTATTTTCATTTGAATCTCTCTCAAAAAGGCCCAAACTTGTCCTGTCTGAATAGGTGTTATTATGACCATGAGCAACTCACTTGGATTCACTACCAATTAACTCAACAAATGTGTCATACTCTCTGTGGAATTTCTTAAAATTATTTGAAAGCAAAAGGCACTCCCATTCCGTATAGAAAAGGTTGGTTCAAGGGCTCAATCAGTGAAAGTATAAAATGAGCATAAAACAGCCTAAAGGGACTTCCACTTGCCAAATCTAGGAAAATTTGAGCATCAAAATAAATTATTGCAAAGGGTTGTAATCCATTGAATTAGGTCCATTAGTTCACACTAATTAAAGTAAATAAATGGAAAGAAGGGGACATTCTTTCTGACCATAGTAAGCCAACTAATAAATGTAGAAAGAATGATGCAATTAGAAAACCAGCAATTGTTAACCATTATACTGATGACTGACTCAGGTAAGAATCATCAGAGGACGCTAAAGTACTGGGCCAAAGTTTGGAAGCAATAGGATGTTTACATAATCTCAAATAACCTCCGACAAAGCTCCATTAATTACCAGGAACAATGATTATTTTTGCAGCAGAGAAAGCTTGCAGATACCACCTTAACCAAGTGACCCTAGTTAATCTGACCAGAAATTGGATAGATGTACCTCCTGATATGGAGCACTGAGAAATACACAACATCATCTCTGTGGTATTTCTGAATCTAATCTAAAAGAAAAAAAATCAGAAAACCCAAACTGAGGGTCATTCTACAAAATTATTGGCCTATGTTTGTCAAAAATATTGTCATAAAACACAAAGATTAAAGAAATATTCCAGATTAAATGAGAGTAAAGAGACAGAACAAGTAAATAAGTGTTATCTGGGTTTTCTTTTGCTACTCAGGACATTATTGAGATAATTAAGAAAATCTGAATATATTCTGTATATTATATAATAGCAATAGATTCAATGTTACTTTCCTGATTTAATAATCATGCTTTATGAAAGAGACTAATCTTGTTCTTAGAAAACAAACACCAAACTAATAAGGGGTAAAGGGACATCATATCTGAAGATAATTTTTAAATGGCAAGTGAAAAAAAATGTGTATATATACACATGTAAAAATGGGTGCGTATATGCAAAATATACAAAACATGTATGAATATATATATTAGGGGCCATTGCAGGAAGATTCCCTGCAATGCTTCCCTCCCGCCCCCCCCACCTCTCCTGCTGCAGTGGCAGCGGTGGTGGTCGTGGATGGGGCAGGCTAGCGAGACTGGGCATGCAGGTGGCACAACCCGCCACTGAAGCTGCACTTTCCCTGCAGCTGCCACCTTGCTTTCCACTTTCCTTCCCTCTTCCTTCTATGCTGTCTTCAGTCTTCACTCCTCCCTCCCTCAGTGTATGCAAATTAATTGTCATCTTTGTTGGGTTAATTTGCATACTTGCTCTGATTGGCTCTGGGCGTAGAGATGTACGGTCAATTAGCATTTTTCTCTTTTATTAGTGTGTGTGTGTGTGTATACACACACACACACACACACACACACACACACACACACATATATATATATGGCGGGGTGCCAAGCAGGGCTGCAGAGCTGTGAGGCTGGGGCCTGATCTCCATAGACCACCCAAGGGACCCCACTTGTGCACAAATTGTGCACTGATCCTCTAGTCCTATATAATCCTATATAATAAAAGGCTAATATGCAAATAGACCAAATGGTGGAACAACTGAACAAATTGGTCCCTATGACCACCAGGTGGTCCCTATGACCACCTGCTCCACCATTCTGCCTTGGCCAAGGCAGAATGGTGGAGCAGGTGAGCAGCGGTGCCAGACCAAGGCACTGGTTTCTGTCATTGGGGTGAGCCTCTGATGGTTACTTGAAAATTCTTTGCTCTTGTGCACCATGGTCCCTCCCAGTAATCACACCCACTGCCAGCACCGGAGCTGCCATTTGTACCCACTGCCAGTGCCAGCCCCACTCACATCCACAGCTAGTGCCAGAGCCACTGCTCGCACCTGCTGCCAGAGCCCAGTGCCAGTCCAGATCACTCAGTATCATCAGTGGGTGTGAGCAGCAGCTGCCAGCCCTGATCGCCCTGAGGGCTTCTTCACCTCCCCCTGCTCCTGAGAGGTGATCAGGGCAGCAACCACCGCTCACACCCGCTGCTGGCGACAGCCCCAGTGGTTCTGCATTATCAGCACATGCGAGTGGCAGGGGTGGGAGTGGGGCTGCCAGCAGACAGAGGATCTGGGGCCGAGGCAGGAGGGGCCAGGCAGGGTCACGGAGGATGGGCCAAGATCCACCCCTGTGCCTACTGCAGCCTTGCAGCCCACAGTTCCTTTCAAGATGCATGAATTCGTGCACTGGGCCCCTAGTGTTAAAATAAAAAGTTAAAAGAGAAAAGGCACATTAATAAGGAGGAAGCAATTTAAATGAAAAACTAGGCATTAGCATGGGGGGGATTAAGCTCAGCATTCTAAGAGGACATAAAACAAGGCTATCTATATATTTAATTTTCCTTTTCATACAGAAGTTCAGGTGAGACAGAATTTATACAATGCTGTATTTTATTACAATTACAATTTGAATTTCTATCTTAAGAAATTATCCCTCACTCTGATTCTGTGTCAGTGTCATGGTACAGTATCTAGGAAACAATACTTGGGGCATTTTGAGGATCTAGTAGCTATTGGTAGCTGTCTAAGAGTCTACCATCAGTGTAGGCAGAGACAAAAATAGATCCTTACATAACACAGTCTTACATTCCATTCTTAAATATATTCCTAAAATAGAATATAGTCATGATCAGTAGAAAAAGAATTATGTTGTAAACTCCTCATTCCATATATGAGATATTATCCTGTTTCCCCGAAAATAAGACAGTGTCTTATATTAATTTTTTTCTCCCAAAGTTGTGCTAGGTCTTATTTTTAGGGGATGTCTTATTTTTCCAGGCGCTAAGTCTTATTTTCGGAGGATGTCTTATTTAGGGGAAACACAGTAGATCGAAAAGCTCAATCCTGCAATTTCTTGAAAAGAAAGATTGAACAGTGCCAAGAGAATAATCCATCTCATTGGGATACATTTCACTTAAAGAATGAGACAAAGGGTGATATCAGTATTGCTTCAAAGGTGCTAAGAGAATTGGAAAGTGAGGAGAGGAGGGAGGCTAACAGCTAGGGCAGGTTTCTAGAAAGGGTTGTTGGCCACATAAAATTTTACTCTGCAGAGGAGATGAGGTCACTATAATGGGGAAAAGAGTGGTGAGTGTAAGTGTAGAAACCTTGAGTTAATGATTTAAATAACTGGTAAAGAAAATTGGTACTACCTTTGCCCTTTTTGTCCACATCAGAAACCAATGCCCATTTGAATTACTTCCCTGAACTTTCATTTCTGTCAATAACTTATCAGACAATATGGTTTGTGGAAAATCCTGTCATAGAGCTTTTTCCTCCACCTTCCTGAAGAAATCCAAGACCTTAAGGTGAATACATGAACTTTAGGTGTGAACCCAGTAGAAAGGAAGGGATACAAAATCCTCTTCTACAAAAAGTTGATAGTGTTTTAGATCAAATGACTCAAAACAACAAATACACGTTTGCTCAAAATTGCTGAAAACTTTTAGAATTTGATCACTATTCTTAATATTTAAGTGATACAACATACACCAAACATTTGAATAACCGTAGAGAATAATTATTTAACAAGATTAGCTTTAAGTAGAAACCAAGCGGAGCAACCTATCCTTGGGACAAACGAACAGAACAGTTCCTTGCAGCTTCAGTGTCATTTATCTGGTTTCCTTAAAGGATTCATAACTGTCTGACTTACCGCAGGTCTGGGCTAAGTCCCGGTGGCACTGACAGCAGGCTCTGGGAGCAGAGTTATTGAGCTGAGGTCTGTCAAAACAGGACAGTTCAGAACCATTGTACTGAATGTCCTGGGCTCTCAGAGACCCTAAAGGAGGGGGTGAGAATTCTGTCAGTAAAGACAATTTCCTCTTTAAAGGACTTCCTTCATATCATATTATAGACGAGTACCATCTTAGCATTTGTATTTTTTTTTAAAGGCTATCATTCACATTTTAAAATATTTCTTCTTACACAAAGGCACAAATATTAAATAATTTGTTAAGAAAGCTCAAAATGGAGAGTACTTATGTTGCCAGCACTTAGAGCAATTTTTATTTTTGCCTAGTGGCACAGGGACATCCCTGCCATCCATCAGTCTGCTCCCTCAATGCCTCTTTGGGACAAAAGACTGTGAGATTTCTTTTCATGTGCTCTCTGCCCCTTAAGTAGCTCCTTGATTCTCATCTTACTCAAGTCTCTTGTGGAACACAAAAACGACAATGATGATAATTGCACTTCACCAATGCTGAGAAATAGAAAGAGCTCAAAACTTACAGCTGGGTTTTTTCTCCATAAATTGTCTCTTACAATAGATGATGCAGAGAATGAGCAGAGCCAGCAGGACAGTAGCCAAGGCACTGCAAATCACGGCAGCCAGGGCTGTGTCTCTCGGGCTGGAGGCTGTGGACGGGATCTTCACGAGGTTGACCTTGCTGGTACCTGAAAACCAGACAAATGGAATCAGCATTCTCAACTACCCAAAAGACTCAGACACTTACACTGACCTCGGCTGTCATTATTAACAATGGCCTTCATGCAATATAAATCAAACCCCAGGAAACCAGTTGGAGGTACGTAAAGATGGCTCAAGCACTCCCTCCTCTTAGAAGATATCTTGAATACTACAGCTCCACCCTGAACTGGAAATTGTGTAATGTGCTGCTCCTTCATTCCCATGACACACACCCTCAACACTGCTGCAGGAAGGTGCTTTTAGGTCCCCTAGACCAGAACCATTTGTGAATTTGGGAATTTATCATCTTTATCTCTGTGTCCCCAGTACTTGGCAATGTGTTTGGCACATAGTAGGTACTTCACATTTATTTCATTGGAATTAAGTAACCTACATTTTAAAATAGACTGAACTATGGTCTGCTTTTAAGGGCAACTTTAGGGAAAAACCAGAAGTTGGGTCATTCAGGACCTAACACGAGGTCCCCAATTTCTGACACAGTAAACATTTTTAAATCTTAGCTGTTACATTACTGAACAACATCTATTTGTAGAGAAAAGACTGACACTATTGTTATCCGATGGAGAGGCATTCATACTGATGTGTTAAGCGTCAAGAAGAGATTCTGTCTTTGAGGATGACATTGCTTTGTGGCTAAGGGCCGAGAATTGGAGTATCCTACTGTCCAGGTTAACCTGTAGGTGTGTGACCTTGAGCAAATTAATGTCTCAGAGTCTTATGTATATATCTGTTCATCAGAGGTAGAAATAATACCTGCCTCACCTGGCTGGTGAGAGGATGAAATGGGTGATCATAAAAGCAAGCCTTGGACCCAGTACTATAGAACCATGGTCGGCAAACTGTGGCTAGCAAGCCACATGTGTTCTTTGGCCCCTTGAGTGTGGCTCTTCCACAAAATACCATGGCCTGGGTGAGTCTATTTTGAAGAAGTGGCATTATAAGTTTAAGTTTAAAAATGTTGGCTCTCAAAAGAAAGTTTAATCGTTGTACTGCTGATATTTGGCTCTGTTGACTAATGAGTTTGGTGACCACTGCTATAAAACATTAGCATTGTAGCAATGAAGATCACAGTTGGCACTTAATCTTTGGGTACTGGGATGGACAAACTCAGTTTAGAAATCTATATTCAGTGAAGTCCCATTTAACTAGCCTCAAAAGAATTTGAGAGATGAAAACCTAAACAGAAGGACAGCTATGCTTTCTCTGGCTCCAAGTAACTGCCCTTGAGCTGAGATGGGACTCCATTTTGCTCCCTTCAGTTGCTTTCAGCTCCTTAGCAATACCCAGCAGAGGCTCCCACCTGCCTCATAGTAGCATGTGCTGCTCATGTAATTTTAAGTTGTCTAGAATCCACATTAAAAAAGGAAAAATAAACAGGTGAAATTAATCTATTTTTCTTAAGCTAATTATCTTAAAATATTATCATTTCAATGTGCATTCAATGTAAAACTTATTGACATCTTTTGCATTCTCTATTTTATACAAAAATGTCAAAGTCGGGTGTGATTTCACATTGACAGCACATCTCCATTTGGACTAACCATATTTCAAGTGCTCACTGGTCACATGTGTCTAAGGCAATCATAATGGAAATTGAAACTCTAGATATTCAAGGCTGGTAACAGGCAAGCCAACTCAATAGCTGATATCTTTCTCCCCATCCCTGGCTACACATGACCCTGAGGCTAGAACCAGAGAGAATGTTTTGGGTTAATATTATTGAATCAAAAATATAATAGGAATGACTGTCTTAGAACATTGAATCTTGGTATTTCTAGGCTCAATGATTCTGAACCCCACTGCTAAAAGTTTTATTGCTACCTGGAAAGAAAATTGTTCAGAATTTATATAAGCTATATTCCTTGGATAAACAGGAATCATAATCAAATCACACATTTTAAAGAATATTCCTTATGAACATGGTTAATATCTTTAATCACAAATACTAACAAATAGATAACTGACAAGGGATTTATATCCTATGTAAGTAAAGTAGTAGACTTAATTGAAGGGGAAATTATTTGGAAAATAGAAGTATTATGTGGACCAAATTGGAAAGTTGTGGCAAATTGCCATCTCATTTATGTTTATGAGCAAGGCAGTTTACAGGTGTGCGATCAGGTCTCTTAGCTTACACTTTCCATTAAACCACCTGGCTCTAGTGGTCATAAAAAATGAAGTATAATACATGATGTGAGTTGAAGATATCAAAGCTTCTACTTATTTTGTAACTATTAAGGTAATCAATTAACATAGTGTTGGGTATTCAAAAAACCCTACTAAAATAGGGATTTTAATTTAATGATTAGAGTCTGAGTCCTGTAAGTTTCTTGTTTAAAATCTTCCTAAAACATATTAGTCAACTTATTTATCTTGATATAAAAGGAACTCTTTCTGACTTATAAACAAACTGAAATGCCCCAAAATGGAAAACAAATTATTTTTATTTTTTAAATATGTTTTTATTGATTTTTAGAAAGGAAGCAAAAGTGATAGAAAGATAGAAACATCAATGAGAGCAAGACATCGATCCACTGCCTCCTGCTCGCCCCTTACTCGGGATCGAGCCAACAACCCCAGCACATGCTCCAACCAGGAATCCAACCATAACCTCCTGGTCTAGTTCAATGCTCAACTATTGATCCACACCTGGACAACAAGTTTTATTTTTAACTTGATGGTTGGGATTCAGAATTTATTTCCCCAAGCCAATCATAAAAGTCTTGCTAATATATACTTTTCCATGATTGAAAACTACAACTATAATTGCAATTTTAAAGGAAACAATTCCCTTCTCTCTATACCTTTCCTGGGCATCTGAAAATGAAAAATGCAGTAGTTTACCACTCAATTTTTGACACCTATATAAGAAAAGGCACCTTGTTAACTCAGACACCCCTCAGAAAGTTCCTGTGGGAAGTCAAGTTCTGGAATGCACACTCTTGTTTATATGTATACATGTATGACACTTATAGCAAACATAATCTTTTTTATTGGAAACTAGTGACCTGTTGCAGAAAGATTTCTGCAAGACTTCTGGTGGGCTTCCCTCCCGCCACTGCCACCTCTCTCACCTCCCTACCTCTCCCGCTGGCTCCGCCCGCCCTGCCCTCCCCACAGTGCCTGCGGCCACCACTATCACCATCTCCACGGCTCTGCGTGCTGCCACCACCGCGCTGTGTGCCTCACCCCGCATGCGGGACTCGCTGCACCCACTGCCGCAGCTGCCTCTGAGGCAGCGCCCATCCGACCCGCCGTGCCCGCTGTCCCCCTATGCCTCCTGCCTCGGGCCACTGTGCGCCTCGCCCCACCTCACCCCGCCCTGAACACGCTGCCAGTGCTTTCCCTCCAGCAGCGGCAGCCACCTTGTTTTCCACTTTCCCTCTCTCTTCCTTTTATGCAGTCTTCAGTTCACTCCTCCCTCCCTCCACGTATGCAAATTAACTGCCATCTTTGTTGGGTTAATTTGCATACTTGCTCTAATTGGCTGGTAGGCGTGGCTGGTGGGTGTAGTGGAGTGGTGGTTAATTTGCATATTACTCTATTATTAGGTAGGATGGGTTCATCATTATTAGGTTCAATTGTCACATATAACAATCTAATCTATTAGGGAAATATGCAAATTTGTCCATTACAGCGTCATGGGTCATGACTGGATCAGCAGGCAGCTGCAAGCCTGGGGAAGGATAGGATACAATAGGAGGGGAAGGAAACTGCATTCGGAAAGGGGTGGTTACCTTGGAGGGGGGGGGGAATGCGGAGTAGGTGCACCCAGTGAAGGGTGGGGTGCAGGCAGCATGGAGCAGGGAGCCCTGTCCAGACACAGGAGGAGGGTAGTGGTGATCATTGGCTGGGAGGCGCAATGGGTCTGGGCAGAGGTACTTCTGCTTCTCCGCAGGGAATAGGAGCAGGACAGTGGCAGGGAGGCGGGTGGTGAACACCTGGCTGAGGCTGAGCTCTGAGTTGGGAGTTAATGTGCCCCTGCCCTCAACAGAAACTTTGAGAAGGGAAGGAAGGAGAGAGCAGAGTTATAAAGGAGTCAGTAGAGAGCAGAGTTAACGAAGGAAAGAGGACGTGTGAGTAAACGGTAGGAACTATAATGAAAATCAAGTATAGTCATGTACGGGGGACAGATTTTAAAAGTGGGAGTCAGAAAAGAAAATAGATAAATGATAGTGAATAATTAGGCAGGTAGATAGATATTAAAACAGTGGAAGTAAGTAGAGAAAAATATATGGGAAAGGTAGGATGAGAGAGAAAGGGGGAGGGAAGAAAAGTTTTAAAGGGGAGCTGGTAGAGCTTAAAAGGAAAATGGGAAGAAGGAAGAAATGGGGGAGGGAGCAAAGCCGGTCTGAGGGAGGACGTGAAGAAAAAAATTAAGGTGGTAAGAAAGGAAAAGGGGAGGGAGGGAAAGGTAAAGATAAAGGAAAGAAAGAATGTGGGAAGGAAAGGAGGGTAGAAGAAAGATGAGAAGTAGGATGATGGAACAGAAGTAGGAAATAAGGAGGAAAGAAAAGTTTATGAATGATGAATAAGTAAGAAAAAGTGTTACATAAAGGAGAGAGAAAAAAATGTGTGACAAGGAGAAGCCAATAAAGAAGTCAAATACAATTGTGTGTGAAGGGGGTAAGATTAAAAAAATAAAGTTAATAGGGGTGACCAAGCTGGCAGGGGAAAGCAGTTAAGGGGATTGGGGCCAGCAGAAGAGGGCAATTAGGGGGATATGGCCAGCAGGGCAGGGAAGTTAAGGGGTTCAGGCAGACAGGGCAGGGCAGTTAGGGGGATCAGGCAGGCATACAGAGTGGTTAGGGCAGGCAGGCAAGTGAGTGGTTAGGAGCCAGAGGTCAGGGATTGTGAGAGGGATGTCCAACCGCCAGTTTAGGCCCGAATGGGGTCGGGCCTAAACTGGCAGTTGGCCATCCCGAGAGCTCCCAGATTGGAGAGGGTGCAGGTCGGGCTGAGGCAC